TCGTCTCCATGGTGCTTCTGTCACAATAAGAGCAAACGTTGGACATTATCATTAACCAAACTCCAGATGTGATGGGGATTTCAGTTGTTCTGCTAAAGTCTCTTTCTGTTTCAGGGTCTCACGCAGGATACCGTGTTGTATTTTGGCTCTCTGTTTGATAAACACAGACACGAGCTTTCTCTATACGTGCTTGATGTGTACTTGATAATTAAGGAAAAATGTTAACAAGTGCACACATGTGCATACACACACACAGCAGAAAAGAAGGTACAACATGTGCAAAGGCCCAGAGACCTTTATTTGCAAACGTGTGGAGGCTGAAGGGCTGCAGGTGGAGCAGGGAGATAAGTGTGTTTGCAAAAGGGGACGGGAGCTCTAGATGGAAAGAACCGTACCAGCCAAAGCAATAAGACAAGAAAAAGAAAGAAAAGCTGTAGGAAGGAGGGACACACCTTGAGAAGGTGTCCCGGGCTGCTGGCCGCCGTATAGAGCAGGACCTTTTGATGCCCAGGAACGTAGGAGCTGACGTCTGCCCGTCTTCCCTCCCAGACAGACCCCGAGAACACAGACTACACCATGGAGCACGGGGCCACGCGGAACTTCCAGGCCGAGAAGCTCCTGGAGGAGGAGGAGAAGAGGGTGCAGAAGGAGCGCGAGGACGAGGAGCTGAACAACCCCATGAAGGTGAGCCGGGCGCCCTGTGTGCATGGGTGCACGTGTGTGCGTGGGTGCACGTGTGTGGGTGCACGTGTGTGTGTGGGTGCAGGTGTGTGCATGGGTGCACGTGTGTGGGTGCATGTGTGTGTGTGTGGGTGCACGTGTGTGCATGGGTGCACGTGTGTGGGTGCACGTGTGTGTGTGGGTGCACGTGTGTGCATGGGTGCACGTGTGTGGGTGCACGTGTGTGTGTGTGGGTGCAGGTGTGTGCATGGGTGCATGTGTGTGGGTGCACGTGTGTGTGGGTGCACATGTGTGTGTGGGTGCACATGTGTGGGTGCATGTGTGTGTGGGTGCACGTGTGTGGACGCACATGTCTGTGCACCTATGTGTGCAGGTGCGTAGCTGCACATGTGTGTGAGCATGTGTGTGCACTATGTGGGTGCAAGTGTGCAGGTGCGTGTGTGTGTTTGTGTGCATGTGTGGGTGCACGTGTGTGTGCATGTGTATGGGTGCACGTGCATATGTGTGCACGTGTGTGTGTGCATGTGTGTGTGTGTTTGTGCACATGTGTGGGTGCAGGTGGTGTTAGTGTCTCTTCCTGCTTCAGACCCCCAGGCGGGGCAATGGGTTGGGGAGTGTGGTCAGCAGAACTCTCAGATGTCCCCCAGGATCCCTGCCTCCTGGTCACATGCCCGGCGTGGTCCCGGGACTGTGTCTACACGAGGATCTCACTCCTGTGATCAGGCTGGATTGGGTTATGACACAGTCGACCCTAAGAGGGGGCGCTGTCCAGACGGCTCTAGAGTTGGAGACGGAGGACGGCAGAGGTTGGAGGAGTGTCGCTGTGGAGGGAGCCGCGTGGCAGGGAACGGCAGACGGGCTCTAGGAGCCAAGAACGGCCCCGGTCAACAGCTGGCAGGAAAACGGGGAAGTCAGTCCCACGACCACAAGGAGCTGAGTTCTGCCGGCGGCCTGAGTGAGCTCAGGAGAGGACCCTGGGCCTCCAATGAGGCCATAACCCCTTGGTTTCAGCCTGTGAGACTCCGCCAGGGAACCTGGCCGGGCCTGACTCCTGATCAACAGAATCATGAGAGTGGAGTCATGTTGCTTTAAGCCACTGGTGGTAGATTGTTACCCAGCCAGAGAAAACTAATTCAGGGAGACAGGAAGTCGGACTTCGTAATGCAAGGTGCTCCTCGCAGGTGGCTCCCCCAGTTTTCTAAGCAGGTTCCCATGACCCATAAGACCCGTGGGTACTAAGATTAGAAATGTAGAAGGACAAGTTCTCTTGAAAATTTCCTGGCTGTGTGACCTTGGGCAAGGCACTTGGCCTCTCTGTGCCTCAGCATCCTCATCTGTAGAATGAGATTGATAACCAGGCCCTCTGCATACACTTGTGGCGAGGATTAAACGAGTTCACGCACGTAAAACTCTTAAACCAGGGCATGGCACTTAGTTAGTAATTCATGATGTCGATACTGTCATTGTTATTTGTCAAGGAAATTTTCATCCTCAGCTGGACATTTTTTGTGGTCTTTCTGAGAAATATTAGCAAGTCTGTGTTCCCTCCTGTCTGCTGCCACCTCACAATGCCCTTCTATTCCTGGACCCTCCAAGCTCTGCCAGTTGTTTTAAGCCACGTCGGATCTGGTCCGACTTCCCCAGCGGCCGTGCAGGGCAGGAGGGAGGGGTATGGGTACTGGTTAGCTGTTGGTGCGTAACAGGTTACCCCAGACCTCGCAACTTCAGACGCTCGTTATCCCACAGTTTCTGAGGTCGGCAATCCGGGAGCCGCTTAGCTGGATGGTTCTGGCTCAGAGTCAGCTGAGCTGTCGGCCAGGGCGGCCTCATCCGAAGGCTCGACCGGGGCTGGAGGAGCTGTTTCCAGGGTGGCTCCCTCGCGTGGCTGTTGGCAGAGGCTGCGGTGTGGGCCTCCCCACAGCGCGGCGGCTGCCTCCCCAGACTGAGTGGTCCCAGAGCACGAGCTGGAAGGCGCCGTGCATTTTATGACCTCGTCTCAGAAGTGACACACGTCACTCTGTCCTGTTCTGTCTGTCAGAGGCGTGTCCCTGAGCCAGCCCCCCTCCAGGAGGAGGAGTTGGTCTCACCCGTCTCCCAGAGGGACAATGCAGCGGGGTCACACAGCCAGGAAGCAGCCGAGGCAGAATTCACCTCAGCCAGCCCTCTGAGACGGGGGGCGGCCAGCTCCATGTCTCTGAGCCTCAGTTTCCTTGTCTGTAAAATGAGGTTTTTGTAAAGATTAAATGAGATTATATCTGGAATCCTCTTTCTGGCCCAGAGCAGTGGCTCTGGTTATCTTTTTAAAGCTTCAGTGTTATTTTTACTTAAAGATGGAGCCAGGCTGGACGTCCAGGCCGCCTGGCTCCAGTGCTGACCAGCCGTGTGGGCTCAGGCGGTCAGTTCTGCTCCCCGGGCCTCAGTGTTTGGAGCTTGAAATGGGCACAGCGATGGGACCGGGTTGGGCGTGTGAATCGAAGCTCCAGGCTGCCTGTGGTCACCCCTGTGGGGACCCCCGTGGCCAGGCGGGGCGCGTCGAGGGGTGACATCCCAGCCCGCTCAGCCCGCGTCGTTGTGCCCGCCAGGTGCTGGAGAACCGAACCAAGGACTCGAAGCTGGAGATGGAAGTGCTGGAGAACCTGCAGGAGCTCAAGGACCTGAACCAGCGGCAGGCGCACGTGGACTTCGAGGCCATGCTGCGCCAGCACCGCCTGTCGGAGGAGGAGCGGCAGAAGCAGGAGCAGGAGGAGGACGAGAGGGAGACGGCGTGAGTCGGGGCGGCGGGCCGGGGGTCCCCGGGGCTCCACCCACCTCCCGGCCTTCGCACGGGCCATTCCCTCTGCCTGGAGCGCCCCGCTTCTGGATCTTTCCATGGCTCCCTCAAGTGTTGCCTTCTCAGGGAGGCCGTCCCCGCCACCCGCCTCCTCCATCTCACTCTCTCTCATGGCATCTGTGTCAGGTCCCCAGACCCAGCCCCAGGTTCAAAGATTTGCTGGGAGGACCCCCAGGACGTGCCACATAGTTGTCCTCACAGTGTGGTTTATAACAGAAAAGTGAGCAGAGGGAAAAGGCACGTGGGGCGGGGGCGGGAGACCAGGCGGAAGCTTCCAGAGTCCTCTCCCAGGGGAGTCCACAGGACATGCCCAATTCCCCCAAACCAGATGTGCGTGTGAGGGGCCGTCCCCAGGGCTCGTAGACCAGGCCGAGATTCTTGGGGGACCGGGCTCAGGCAGGGAGCAGAGCTTGGCCAGACCCCGTGTCTGCACAGCAAGCTGAGGGCCAGGAGCCCAGGCAGCGTGGGCAGCCGAGCCCGAGTCTAGCTCCAGATGCCACTGGGGGCCAGCCTGGTGAGCCCGCCTCTCTGAGGGCACAGTCTCAGGCCCGCTGTGTTCCAGCTTTTCTACACGGCACCCACTCTCTGGAACCTTCTTGCTGACCTGCCGTCTCTCGCTTTATCGTCTCACCCCCTTTTACACTCTGCACAGGGACTTTGACTTCTGTGTCCCTGGGGCCTAGGGCGCGGTCAGGCGCACAGTAGGTGCTTGGTCGGCCCTATTGGGCGGGCAGGTCAGTGATACTGTGAGTAGCATGAGAGGAGTCTGCACTTATTGGGCACCTTCTGCGTGCCAGGCACTGTTTTGAGCGTCATGATAACAACCAAATGGACTGAACTTCTGGGAGCTCCAGGCATGGCCCCGACCAAGGTCACCGGCCGTGCTTCCCGTCTAGATAGGCTGGTCCCAGTGTCCAGTGGACTACTCACTGCCCTCAGTGGATAAAGACAATTTTTTTTAAGAAAAAGGAGTTTGTGTGCCCCTCCATCCACTTCTCCATGAGGTCAGGAAAGAGCAGTAGGGCCCACACGCCTTGGCGGGGGGTCCCAGCAATGTCCCCCTGCGGAGCACGTCCCCACGTCCCACGTTCCGTCCCTCAGGGCCTTGGTGGAGGAATCCAGGAAGCGAAGGCTGCTGGAAGACTCGGATTCAGAGGAGGAGGACGCCCCCGCCCCACCCCGGCCAGCCCTCCGGCCCAACCCCACCGCCATCCTGGACGAGGTGAGTGGGCTGCCCGACTCTCCCTGGCTCTCAGGCTAAGCTGGGGCAGTGTAAGCCACAGGTGGGCTTAAAAGGCCGGACCGCCTGTGTCACACTGCTCAGCTCTGCCATCGCAGCACAAAACAGCCGTGGAACGTGTGTAACAACAATAAGTGGACGTGGCTGTGTGCCAGTAAAACTTCATTTACAGAGACAGGTGGCCGACCTATGGGACTCGTTTGCCAGCCCCTTCCTCAGCGGTTGAAGCAAGGAGATCCCCAGATTCAGAGACTTGAGAACACAGAGGTTTATTTCTCGGTCACGTAGCAGTCCTGGCAGCCCCAGACTTTGGGCACCTCGGCTCCATGCAGTCATTCACAGGCCCAGGCTCCTTCCATCTCCTTGCTCTGCCCTCTCCTGGAGCGTCGGTTCCCGCTCTGTGGTCACAGCTGGCTCAGGGCACGCTCGGGTTCCAGCTCGGGGGCGTGGAGGAACACCTGCCAGTGCCTTGCGGCTCCGATTCAGGTGTGGCCCACCTCCTGTGCAGTGTCATTCCTCTTCGTGTCCCGTTGGTTGGACTCGGTCAAGTGGCCGCATCTAGCTGCAAGGCAGGCTGGGAGCCGCATCCTCTAGCTGGCCCGTGCTGGCAGAAGGAAGGGAAGAGGAGGATGTGGCAGGTGGACGACCAGCATTTTCCACCACGGCTGTCTTATCCAGGATGGTCAAGCCCACTCTGGTTTGTTAATGGAAACAGGGAGTTAAAGTGGGAAATCGTAAGTTACACAGGGACCCCCCCCAAAGCATGTTATTTTAATTCAAAACACATTCGTGGTCTGAGTGAAATACAAGTCCAGCCGCTGGACAGGACCCAAAGTAACGGCTGTTTCAACTGCAGAGATATTTTTCTCTTGAATAACTGTTGTGCACAGCCAACTGGAACAGGGAAGGTGGCCCCATGGTGTCAGGGACCCGGATGCCTGCCTTCTCCTGACCTGCCGGCCCGGGGATGATGCCATCTCGGTGCCATGGTCGCATCCCAGCCAATGGAAAGGGGCGGGGCGAGGACCATTAAGGTTATTCCATCCGTGATGGAGCGCATCCGTCTGCTCACATCCCATTGGTCAGGACTGAACCATGTGACCACATCCTGCTGCAAAGGAAGCTGGGAAGTGTAGTCCTCCATGGAGGCAGCCATTTTCCGGCTGAGAATTCTGTTACTGTCAGAAGCGAGACTGGGTTTGGGGTCCCACACGCTCACCCATTAATCTTTTAACAGGGAACCAAGACATTTTCCTGGAGGCTATGTCCCCTGATTAGAGCTCTCACGCTGGCTTTCTCGCCCAAGCCACCCCCAGATATCATTGTCTGAAATTTCCTCTTTTTATTTTTTCTTTTTAAATGGAACAAGAGATCAAAGCTATTTCAAAGTAATCTGAGCTTTTCTGATTTTTCCTCCCGGTCTTTGGTGGCGAGCTTGCTGATCCCTCATTGGACGGCAGACTTTCTTTGTTTTGTTTTAAGCGATATGCCTTCATCGAGACTTCTCGAACCTTCTCGAACCTTCCGTGTAGCTTTTATGGCAGGATGTCTGTTTCCACACTTCTGTTTTGGTGGCTGAGTTCAATGACACCGAGCACACGCGGCGTAGACGGTTTGGGGAACAAACGCTCGTGACTCTCAGCTCTCAGGCCGCCCGGGAACCCGTGATGGTGTCGCCCAGAGGGCCTGACCCCATGAGTCAGTCGAGTGGTCCCGATGAGGAAGCTTCGCCTGGGACTCCTGGTCCCTCTCCGCCCCCTCCCTGGACTGCACCTGTCGTGCTCACCACTCCCTGAGCCCCGCGGCCGGGACCCTGCGTGCGGTGTGGCCCTGCGTCCTCCCCCTCCCACATGCAGCGCCCCAGCTGACCCAGCACCCTGGGTGCGCCGAGCTCAGCCCCGCCTCTGGGCCTTTGCCTCAGTGTGCCCTCCGCCTGGAGCACCCTCCCTCCCGTCTCCACTGGTGAACTCGTCCTCCTCGTTCTGCCGTCGGCCCAAGGTCACCTCTCTCAGGCGGCCTTCCCTGACCACCTTGCCCGCAGTGGCCGCCCCCCCCCCGACGCTGTTGCTCCAGCCTGACGTCTGTCTTTCCTTCGCACCGTTCGTTCATCAGGGTGGGTGTGGTCCTGACCATCTTGCTCGTCCACGCTCTCCCCTCCTGCAGACGGTGAAGGTGGGACCTTGCCCCTCACGCCCCCCGCATCGCCCGCTCCCGGCTCACACGGGGCCTCCTGAATCTAGGGGTTTCCGGTTCCTCTATTTCAACATAAAAGGGGTCCCTTCTGTGTGACTGAAGAGCCAGAGATGGGCCTGAGCCCCTTTCTGCCTCCCCCTAGCAAGTCCCCATAGTGGGTGCCTCCATTTTGCCACATTCGCTCAAACACACTGATGGAGCACCTACTACGTGCCAAGAACTCTTTGCGGCACTGCAGACCCAGCAGTGACCAAGACAGGAACCCGCAGCACAGTTGGGGGGCTGGTGGATAAGGCAGTAGAGGGCTGTGGGTGTGGACAGGCAGCACTCGTTTGAGCTTGAACTGTGAGAAAAGGCTTCCTCAGGGTGGGGGGATAACCGGAGTTGGGTTTTGAAGGATGAGTAGGAGTTCACCAAGTGCACTAGAGGCAAATGGGGCATTTCCAGGTGAAGGGAATGGTGTGGTGAAGGTGAGATGCCCCAGTGTGATTTAGGAAGTCTAAGTGCAGGGTGTGTGGGATGGAAAGTGGGCAAAGGCCTTGAGTCTTGAGTACCAAGCTTAGGGCGATGGAGAGCCATAGAGGCTTTTAGGGCAGGAGAGAGACACAGCACAGCAGGGGAGTGGAGGTGGCAGAGATCCCTCTGGCAACTGGTTCAGCAGGGGACTAGGGGCAGGGAGGCCAGAGAAGGGGGGAGTCTGGGACGGACCACCGACTCGTGTCCCCCCATCACCCACAGGCCCCGAAAGCCAAGAGGAAGGCAGAGAGCTGGGAGCGGAGCGTCGGCACCCTTGGCAGCAGGCCCCAGCTGTCGGGCCTGGTCGTGGTGAAGAAAACAGACCTGGACCAGAGCGCCCGGCGGGACCCTGCCGCATCCGCCCCTGGTAGGTTCCCTCTGGGTCCGGGCAGCTGAGTGCAGTGCCCCCGGCGGCCACCAGGGGCAGCAGCGTCCCTGCGCCGGTGGGGAGCCCGCGGGGTGGGCGGGGCAGAGCTGTGTCCCCGCCTGCCGGGTCCTCCTCGTCCGTAGTCGCGGCCTCACCTCGCAGGCGGTTCCCGGGCGTCCCCACCTCGCCCTGTGTGGCTGCTGCTCCCCGTGTGTGACCCCGGGGTCGAGACCCTCGGCTCCGCCTGGGGAGGTGGCCGAGAGCAGGATCCCGCGAGCAGCCTGGGCGCGGGTCTGCACCGCCACGTGCTTGTTCTGTGGCTGAGGTCCTGGGACCTCACGCGCCCCGACCCCGTGCCTCAGTTTCCTGTCCTGGAGGGTGTGGGTCACGCCAGGACCTGCCTCCTGGGGTTTTCGTGTTGGGTCCACGAGCTGCTGCATGTCAGGCCCTGGCCGTGGGTCCTGGCACCCAACGAGCCTTCCTGAACGTGAGCCGTTGTCGTCAGTATGGTCATCAGTCCATTTATCAGATGGGGGGACCAAGGCCCAGAGAGGTGAAGCCACCTGCCCAGAGCCACACAGCCGGGTTGGGTGGTGGAGCCAGGATCGGCTTCTCTTAGTCCCTGTAGCATGTGTTTTGCCTTTGGCCGTGGAGCGGTGTCCTTTTTCTGCCGTGTCCTCCTGGCACGGGCACCTTTGGCCGCCTGGGCGGGGTTTCCAGCGGTCACTTTGCAGAAGTGGAGTTGCTGTGTCAAAGGTCATGTGGGTTTAAACTGTGGCGGGTCCTGCCACTCGCCTTCCAGAAAGGCCACCTTGTTTGCGCCCCCTCCACGAATAAGCAGAAACAGCCCGCCCCACTCTCCCAGCGTCGCCCCCCTCGGCCCTTCGGGAACAGTCCGGGGCGGGCCGTGGGCACAAAGTGCAGTGGGCCAGCTCTCGCCTCTCCCCCAGGCGCCGTGCACAACGGGAAGGCAGCTGGCCCTGCCGCCCGGGCGCCCGGCGCCTCGTCCCTGAACCAGCTCGGCGTGTATTCGGACAGCGACGACAGCAGCGGCAGCAACTGAGCCCCAGCCGCGCCCTTCCCCGCGTCAGGGGTCCCGCGGCTCCAGCCGGTGGTCGGGAACAGAGGCCTTGGCACCGACCAGAGTCGCAACCGGACGAGCACCAATATGGCCCGAGGGCGATGGGGCCAACGACGAACTCGATTCCTCTCCTGTCCCCACCAGCAGCCGTCCGGACCTCGCCGCCCCCCGCTCACGCTGCCACTTCCTGGCCCCGAGTTCAGGGTGGGACATCCTGGAGCAGCTCCGGCAGGGCTTCGCGGCCGTCTCTTGGACGGTCCTTGCGCTGTCAGCCATGTTTCAGGGATGTGGGTGAGCCATCTCCCACCCCCGCCCCATCTCCAAACCGTCTGGAGCCAATAAAAGGGACCCGCCGACCTGGCCTGGGCGCCCCCTCTCTGCCAGCGTCTGAGGAGGGGCCCCAGAACCGTGTCACTTAGCCGGTCCAGGACCCCTGACTCAGAAGCTACGAGACAATAAACGTTGGCCGTTTAGGGCGTTAAGGTTGGGGCTAGTTTGTTACGCCGCAGGCCAGCGCTCACGGGGTCCTGTGACCGGGAAACGTGGCCCCAAGCTCAGGGCCCCAAGGTTGCCGGGGTCACTGCGCCCCAGGCCTCTCCCCTCCGGGATTCTCCAGCCCCGTCCCTGCCCCTGTGCCCCAGGGTGGCTCGCGTCCGCCCTCCTGTCACCCACGCTCTCGCGTCGCATCTGCCGCTGACGTTTTGTGCTGTTCAGTGTCAGAGTCTGGGGGAGGAAACGCCCCCACTTTCGGGACCCACTTCCCCGAAGTCATTTCCCTGCTTGGGGACAACGGGAAGAGGTGGCCTGGGGTCCAGCCAGGGCTTCTGCTGACGACTTGGGGCCCCTCCCAGCTCCGCGGCTGCAAGACCCCAGGTCCTGGTTTGAAGCCGGCAGTGGCGGGCGACACTGGCTCAGGCTGGCCGTGTCTCCCCGGTCCTGCCCTCAGCAGCATCACACTTGTGGCTTAAAATTGGCCACAGCGGGAGTATTTGCACCACGGGACTCGGCAAACGCTAGTGTCAGGGCCCCCTCCAGGGAGCCAGCTGTGGAGCATCTCCCGGCACAATGCCTGTTGTCCTCAGACTCAGCGTCACGCACGGTGCCTGGATGTGCTCCCTTCAGACTCTTGGTTAAAAGAAACATCTGACTTAAGAGGTCGTGAGGAAGGGGGGGGCTTGGGGCCTCCCTGGTCCCCGTGGGTTCCTTCCTTCAGGCTGCCCCCTGAGCCCCCGTGGTTCAGGATCCACCCCAGTTTTTGCCACAAGCATGTGCCATCTGTCACTGTCACTTACTGCCTATTGTTAAATGTCAGCCCAACTCCGTTCCAAAACACAGGTTAGCGAACTCCGATCCGAGGGCCAGATCCGGCCCCCAGCTTGCTGTTGTCAATAAAGTTTTATTGGCACACGGACATGTTCATTTGCGTGTGGGTTGCCTGCGGCTGCCTTTCCTCTGCGGTGGCAGGGTGGAGAGGTGAGGGCAGAGGCGCTGTGCCCTGCGAAGCCACATGTTTCCCATCAGGCCCCTCGGAGCAAGTGTGCCATCCCATCCAGAACACCAGCTCTGCTCCCCACAGACTCCAGGGGCAGGGGGTCAGGACACCCGCTTGCCCCCCAGTTTCTAGGCTCACACCGTCCATGCAACTCTCCTGGCTGAGGTCACCCGAGGACAGGCGCCAGCTCCCCTCTTCTCAGTGTGACATGGTGGATGAAGTGACAGTGAGGAATGACAACAGCTGGCGTTTACCCTTGCCCACCTCTCGCGCTGAGCTCTTCACACAAACTCGCTCATCTGCGTTTCCTTGTGCAAGCTTATTAGTCCGTTTGCTCATTCACTGTTACTTATTAAGCACCTACTGTGTGCCCAGCTCTGTTTTAGGCGTTGAGGCCACAGCAGTGAGGAAAAACGGACAGTCCCTGCTCATAAAGGTGACATTCTTGTTGGAGGATGGGGAATAAAAGAGTAAATGTGTCTAAACGTAATAATAAAATATAAATAAAATAAACACATGCTAGAGGTGGTGGGAGCCGTGATGAAAATGGAGCTGGGGAGCATCGCTGGAGAGCGTGCCTTGAGGTGGTGTCTTTATTGTCTGGGGCTCCCGAGTTAGTCATCTGATGCCCCGTGACAAATTACCCGCCAGATCCGCAGCTGGAAACAACAGGAATCTGGATGCAGTTTCACTGGATCCTCTGCTTCAGGGTCTCGCAGCTGCAATCGAGATGTCGGCCAGGGCTGGGGTCTCATCTGAAGGCCGGGCTGGGGCAGGATCTGCTCCCAAGCTCGCTCACGTGCTTGTGGACAGAATTCAGTTCCCCTCGGGCTTGTGACCAGAGGCCGCCCTCCGTCACTTGCCCACACGGCTCCTCCAGCCACTGTCTCCCAAAGCCAGCACGAGAGGAGAGTCAGCTGAAAGTGACATTCCGTCACCATTGCCACATTCCGCTGGTCAAAACTAAGCCACAGGGCCCGGCCACATTCAAGGGGCCACATTCAAGGAGGTTGGGGTCATGGGGGCCCCCTACCTGCCAGACCCCCCCCCGCCCCCAGACAATGAGCTTTGCAAGGCTAGGTGTCTTTTTTTTTTTCTTTTGAGGAAGATTAGCCTTGAGCTAACATCTGCTGCCAATCCTCCTCTTTTTGCTGAGGAAGACTGGCCCTGAGCTCACATCTGTGCCCATCTTCCTCTACTTTATATGTGGGACGCCTACCACAGCATGGCGTGCCAAGCAGTGCCCTGTCTGCACCCAGGATCCGAACCGGCAAACCCCAGGCCACCAAAGCTGAACGTGCACACTTAACCACTGTGCCACCGGGCCAGCCCCAAAGCTAGGTGTCTTGATGAATGTGTCCCCACCCCCTGAGTCCATCCAGGTACTCAGTAGGTGCTCAATAAATGTTAGTGGCCTGAGTGGCTGTGTTCCATTCACAGATGAGGACATTGAGGCCCAGGGAACTGCACGGTCTGCCCACTCCCTGCCGCCCCCCTGACCCCTCCGCACCCCACTGGAATGGGTTCTTCAATTCTTATTTTCCCTGCTGGCTTTGAGGCCGGGGCCTCGGCCCGCCGCCCCCGCTCCCTCCCCGCCTGCCCGCCCTCCCCGGGAGCCCCCTCTGCTCAGGAGCCTGCCCTTCCCCCATCGCTGCTGACAGTTCCGTCCCCCTGGAGCTCCGTGTCTGTCATCCCCTCCCGAGCTGTCAGGCCTCATTCAGAATCTCCTCCATCATCTCCCCCAGGGCTGCCCGGCTGCCGGAGCACATCAGAGGGACGGGAGCACATCAGAGGGACTGGGCGGAGGTTGGGGGGGGGACCCTGAGCCTGGGCCTCGCGAAGGAGCCCAGGGGCCGCCCCTGTGCCTGAGCCCCTCCACACCCCA